GTGTGTGTGTGTGTGTGTGTGTGTATGTATGTTAAGGGGGAACGACCTTTCTTAGAGAATAAGTGGGTGGTTGGTGGGTGCTCTGGTGTGGTTTGCTTCTTTTTTCCTGTCAAACATCTATCGTCCTTATCTCCCATTATTTTTTATGTTAGTTACTCTCTTGTATCACCACTAATCTTCTGGCGCTCATATGACCTTACGCAGTTGCGAGCGCCGTAAAACCTCTACTAAAACGGAAACTAAAAACTGAGAGAATGACAAGGTCGTTTTTTTGAAACTATGACGTGTTTGGACTTTCAAGATTTCCTTTTTAACACAAGTGTTTTTGCACCCCCATCGACACTATTTTTTCATTAAGGAGGCAGGCTTCGATCCTGCTTGACAGGGCCAAACGAGGCTGAAAGGAATGTAATGTCCCTGCTGAAAGAGACCAAAATACAATATAAAAATCTTCACCCTATTGGAATCGAACTCAGGTCTTCTGCGTACGACGGCGAAATGCCCTACCGCTACACCACAGACGCAGGTGTAAAGTTTCCTAGAACCTGGGGAAAATCCCTTGCTGACCGTTTTGGCACTCAGAGATTGCCGTTTCGTGAAACGGTCAGTTGGCCGTGAACCGTGCCAAGGAATGTTCACCTATGTGGAAACACAAAATAAGTGTTCTGTCGCCTACCTTTGGTCAAGCTGTCGGCCCCAATTGTGTTCTTTGCCCTGTTGGTAGTTTTGCCGGTCTGGTCATAATGGGCCCTGTGTCAGGGGTAAGTCTGGACAATGGTGACTGGAATGAGTACGTACCGTTGTCGTGTGTCCGCTTGAATTCCGTTTAATCATTACTACTGTTCACGTTCTGTTGGCTCTCAGTGGGTTGCACTGAAAAGAGGAAGAAGAGGGGAGGGGGAGAGAGAGAGAGAGAGAAGAGAGAGAGAGAGAGGGGGGGGGGGAGGGGGTGAGAGAGAGGGAAAGAGAGAGGAAGAGGAGGAGCGGGAGAAATGCATTTTTTTTCTCTTCCTCTTGTTTTCTTCCTATGCGTCCCCCTTCTTTTATCCCCTAGAATTACTAGATTTGGCACATTGTTCAAGCGATAGTGTTTAAAATAACAAGGCAGAAACATGTCCCTTGTAATTAAAAAGATTTATTAGATTAATTAATTTTTTTAAAGTGTGCGTTCTTTTAACCTGAACAATAAATAACAGTGGTATGGTTTCCTTCTTCGACACCGTATGCTGTTTTTGCTGTTTAATTCAAAAGTCAACGTCTGTGCAAGTAAGGTCAACATAGCGGAGGTGCACTCGTAAGCGGAATCCTCTATACCATCAAAAGCAACTATCGTGCAAAATCAGTTAATCTTGGGGTCATTTTTTTAACGTTTGGTTTAATATCTTCTTAGTCTTGTATTTCTTTTATTTTGTTTAATTCGTATGCTTATTGTTCGTGTACGTATTTATTCATTTATTCAAATATTTGTTTATTTGTTTATTCGTTTGTTTATTTATTTATTTTAGTTTTAAATATGTATGTATGTATTTATTTATTTATTTATTAAGAAGGTCAGCGGGCAGATCACTGTACCATGCCTAAAGCGCGCTTTGAAATTCTGTCAGGTGATTCTCGTAGACAGTAGGTGCTGCCATGGTGTAACCGTTGCAGTCCGTCAGACACTGTGTCCACCCGCCCGTTTCGTCCGTTCTCTGGGTTAGTTGCTAAAAAAAATTAGCTTTGGCCAAGCTCGCTATGACCTTGGCCCTTCGGTGAACCATATGCGTACGGAAGGGGGCAGTAGTAGGGATCAAATACCTACAAAAGAGCTCAATAATGTACTAAACTACTGTGGTTCTGTTGTTCCAATGAACGCCCAAACGTCGCAGTGGAGCTTGCGGACGTTCCTGCTGTCAGTTATGCCGTAAGAGAAAGCAGAGAGCGAGAGAGAAAAGGCTGGGGCTGGGGGTTGGGTGTGCATGTAAACCTAAGGGAAGGCTAACTTGCTTATTTAGAGACTGATTGGGATTAGACAGACAGACAGACAGACAGACAGACAGACAGACAGACAGACAGACAGACAGACAGACAGACAGACAGACAGACAGACAGACAGACAGACAGACGCACGCACGCACGCACGCACGCACGCACGCACACACACACACACACACACACGCGCGCGCGCCTGCGCACGGAGAGAGAGAGAGA